TTCTCCAAATCACTCGGCTGCTCATCTTTTTCTACGATTGCGATATCCACTGCGTACACGTCAGCTCCAGCAGCGACAGCCCGTTTCATCGTGATGGCGTTGACCTGGACCGTCGAAGATTTGGGTGGCTGCCAGCGAGGTAGAACGACCCAGTTACCACTACTTCGCACTGTGCAGCTCCACGTCGTCCAGTCGATCCGTGGGTTGTACCGTCGCAGCCAATCACGTCCTAATAAAATGTCGTGCCCATCCAATGTCGTCGCGAGCATTTCCTGTGTAAACCCGAAGTTCCCCCCGCAGCGGACTTTTACGCGCTCCACCTTTTTCCGTATGGCCAGGGGCGTGCCGTCGACTAAGCGTGCATCTATCTCAGGTAAACATCGGTTAAGCGTTAACTGTAATTTTCGTGCGGTTGCGGTATTAACTAAGCTGTGGCTTGCTCCTCCGTCAATGAAGATCTTCACTGCTGCTCCCTGTATTTTCCCGTAGATCAGTACCGGGCAATCCGTCGCTGTACCCTCCTTATTCATCCGAGCCCGATCGATGGCGTGAATCGGTACTGTGACTCGGTGAGGGTCGGTGTGGTTGGGCGAGCAGGCAGTCTCGTCAGTAGTTGGCCCAACTTCTACTGACTGCTGGCGTTTCCCTGCCTCCGAGACTCCTTCCCCTGCTCTGCTCCTCGACGCCTCAGCTCCTCTGGACATTCGCTCTTGCGATGGCCCGGCCGGTTGCAAGCAAAGCAGCGCCCTCTAAACGGCGCGGCAGCTGCATTTGCTGCGACGGCATGTACAGTGGCGTGCTCGGTCGGTCCCCGAGGACGATGTCCGTAATAGGACCCCGGTCTCGGTCGGCGTAGGATATCGATTTTCTCGGCGAGCGCGAGGATCTCGTTGAAATTCGAGAGCCCGCGTAGCATTATCTCGTGCGAGATGTCCGGCTTCAGCCCTCCGACGTAACGGTCCACCCGCTCCGCCTCGTGCATGTAGCCGACCTGTTCGCAAAGTGCGAGAAACCCGCTGGTGTAGTCTTGAACTGACCCGAGCTGGCGCCAAGTGCGCAGTTTCTGACGCGCCGAAATCGAGGCCGCGATCGGCTCAAAGCGCGCCCGAAGCCCTGCGCACCACGCATCCCACGTGCTGTATTGGGCGGTTTCGCAGAACGAACTCCAGGTAACAGCTGGACCCGAGGGCCCTTCCTCGTGCGACGGTGGCTCGTAGGCGCGCGGCGACGTCACAATGACTCGCCACCAGTCCATGGCGGGGCCCCTGAGTAGTGAAACCGCATACCGGATCTTGGCGGCGTCCGACTCGACGTAGTTGGCGTCGAAAAACACATTCATCGTGAAGACCCACGATTGAACTGTCGGGCCGCCGCGTTGGCTTGGGTCGAAGCAGGGCGGGCGTTGCGGCTTGAGTGGCATTGGGGCCATCATGGCGTTCTCGCCACTTGTCGCCGCAAACTCCACGTGCCGACGGGCTTCTCGGGGCTCCCGTGGGCTTAATGCGCTCCTGTTCCCTCCCATGCCGGGCATCGGTTGGGCTGCGCCGTCACTGGCTGCGCCTGAGCGCTGTCCCGTGCTGTTGTGTTGCGTTGGTGTGCCGGATGAGATGACGATGGGCTCCTCCGAATGTGCAGATGCATTGGTTGGTGCGTGTGATGTCGTCGGTACGTTCACCGTTGACTGTTGACGGGCGGAGTCACGTTCCGCCGTGAGAGTCGCGATTTCGAGCGCCGAATCCTCCAATTGACGCACGAGACGATCGAGTTGCTCCTGCGTCAACGTGGCGAGATTGAAATCGGCCATGGCGGGGGTGTCGGGCAAGCTCAGCGAGAGCCTCGGTGGTGGCCGTGCGTGCTTTCGAGAGAGCACTACGAGCGGCGGTGCTGTGTCGCTGAGATACGTCTACCCCCCCCAAAAAATTGAGATAGTGGGAAGCGAAGGTGTGGATGCGGTCCGAGATGAGATCGTAGGCTCTGAATACCAAGTGTTACGAGTGCAATTGAGTGAACGAACGAGAATTGCACTATCGAAGCAAGAATACAAATGAGCGAAGGCATGAGCGAACATTATATAGCGAAACTACCGTGGTAACGGTAATGGTCGCGCGACGAGCCTGGGACTGAGGTTGGGAAAGTGTCGAAGCGTAGGTCCGGAGCGCGGGTTACCAGCCGAGCCGTGAGGTCGGGATGCGATGTGCGAAAAGGGCGGGATGATGAATGATGCGATGGTCGCGAGTGGTAACGGTGCTGACTGAGGTGCTACAGTGATGTACGCGTTGAGCAGGGACGCGAAGTAAGGAAAATGGAATTTCCTTACATTCATATTTAAGTGGAAATCAGAAGTTTACATAATGGAAGCATGGGATTTTTGTTGTCAATTTTCAGATTTTAGAGGCATTTAAGAGACTAGGAATTCATCCTTGGTGTCAAGCTTGAGTGACCATGAATTCCTTCCTTTTCAGCGTAAATTGTGCATATAATAGGTATTGCAAATCCAAAATGTATAAATGAAATATTCTGTACGCACTATGTGCTTCTTCACATGCCTTGCAGAAATTTCCACACCATCCAACCAAGCCGCTTCTTCCACCTCGCCGCCGTGCCCGTAACAAGCGGCAACGCGGTCTGTCGGCGGCTCCAATGTAGAATGGCTGTCGTGGGCCGAACCGCTGGTTCCAGGGGCGACTTTCCCAACTTCTGTGGCAACTTTGTGCCAAGCCGCCCCATAAATTTCGTACCATTTGCAGCTGAGAGTCAGAATTTTGCCCAAGTTTATCTAAATGATACAGCTGTTCTCGTTTATAGTCCGACGGACTGAGACGCCGCGCGCGTTCTTTTTTGAAACCATCAAAACGCGATACTTATAGTTCGTTCGGATAATTTGCGTGAAGAGTGGTTTGTTTGCTACTAATCTCTGAATTTTGTCTTTTACGTAGATTCTGTTCCCCGCGCTGATCAATGTCGCATGACAAACGGGCAAAAAAAACAAAGTGAATTATAGTTTGGGGGTCGATTAGAAGGTAAAAATTTATCGTTTACCTTGTAAGCGAGGTAAATGATTCGCTGCAAAATTTCTTGCCAAAAAAGGGACTATAGGGATCGGGCCAACCCTAGGCGATATCGGAAAACCCTACTCAAGGGGGAAAAGGCATCTTTTAGCGAAGGCCTCTAACCCGGAACATTTGTTCAGCAATTTCCATTGGCGGTTCAAGAGGGCAGGAGGATGGCATAACAAGGGCCGACAACGACAAGCGGGCCGACAAACAGGCTGACTGAAAGCCTGGCCTATCAAGTGGCATCACTGGCATGGCATGGCATGGCAAGAAGGCAAGGCAAGGCAAGCAAGGGTAGATCGTACACCCTTTTTCGCGCTACACTCTTATTGGCTATATGGGCTCTGTGGCTCAACGCGCCAGAGGACGCGTTATAGTGGACTTTTGCACCAGTACGGTTTGACGTGGTTCGTTACACGGTCGTTTGAACGTTTGATATGGCTCGGTAGGGTACCCAGGATAACGAAATTGCGAATCACTCACCCCCAAGAGACGGTTATTGTAACAATTCCGAATACGTCCAAGGAACAGTTTCACTGTAGCCAGTGAATCCCGTTGCCATTGTAGCGCAAAAGAGGGTGTAGAACAAAGCGCCGCCGAGACGAGCCCCACCCGCCCTGGTCCAAACCGCCCCTGGGCACGACGAGGATAGGAGAAGGCACGAGAATCGCGTTGAGTTCAGGAGGATAACCGACTTCCGCTCCTGGAGGAGCGATACCTCTCTCCACACCACACCACCACCACCACCACTCGTCTTGGTTCATACAATAAGATACACAACAGCAGCACTGTTGGAGATTTCGGTTCTGTTTATGCTGGCGAGTAGTAACAATGGTCGTCGCAGGACGCACACGAGCTTAGTCCGAGTGGGTCCCGAATAGGTGCCATGACTTTACGAGAGGACGACTGTTAGCAGAGGTGAAATAGAAGCGCGGTACTGGCTGTCGCGGGGTGCACATGAGCTTGCCTCGCCGCCGCTGCCGCTTTTTATAGCACAATAGTAGCTGTTGCCAGCTTGCAGGCGCCGCGCCGTTCTCACGAGTCGTACCTATGACATCGCCGTGTAGTGACAGCACCGCGCAATTTCCATCGCCAAGTCGTCGCTGCATAGATTCTCAGCGGCAAGGAGTCGCGATATAGCCTCGGAAACTAATAGGCCGCGTCAGCATTGCTTCGGGCGTTTACCATTAAGTGACTCCCACTGCATCACAGCTCCTCATACTCTGCAGCGCTCATTAGAGCAATAACGAATTTACGTCCAGCGTACGAATATAAGAATACATAGACTGCCATGGCCCCTTTAAATGTGACCAGTAGCAGTAGCGGCAGCAGCAGCAGCAAAACGAAACCGCTATGGCTGATGGTCCAGCTAATCCTATCGCTGATCTCGGGAAAGCCGCCGGAAGAACCGCCGCCGCCTTCCCCGCCGCCGCCGGACACGCCGCCGCCGCCATCGGGGACGAAGCTGATCCTGCTGCCGAATAATGCTCTGGGAGCGCGGTGCCTCGATGGGAGGTGAGCCATTCGTGGGAGTCTCAACTCTGCATGCATTGATGTAGGCGTATTATTATTATTTTAGCTGTCTTTAAGAAACGCCTGTTTTTGTGACTTGTACAAAAGGAAGCGACTTAGTGCGAATTCTAGAAGATTTTTCGACCGTGAGCCCCTTATTTTTTCCTTGCGCCTCAACAATAGACGCCTTTCGGACCCATCTCCTAATAAGGCGGTTGATCATTAACCCCTGCGCAACTCCCCATCTCTTTCCTCCACTCCCCCACCTCCGTCCCCCTCCTCCGCAACCCCTGGCTCAAATATTCAAGTCAGTTCACATTCGACCGTCTCCCCCTGCACTCCGCTCCCCCACCCCTCCCCCCCTTCTCCCGTTCCCTCCCTTCCCGCCCCTCCCCTTCTTTCCCCCTCGTTCCTTTTCGTTACCGCGCACCCTACATGTATTACGTCCCCCTTACCCCTCTCCCATCGTTCGCTGCCCCTCTTGTGCATCGCCAAATTATCCCTCTCCCCTCCCCCTACGCGCACGTCCCTCATGTCCCCCCTTTCCCCCCCCCCCACTCCCCCCCCCCCCCCCCTACCCCCGCTCTCCTCCCCCTCTCCCCACCCCCCCTCTCCATCATCACCTCCTCCCCGGCCACCTCCTTCTCCCGCCCGTTCCGCCAGTGCGCCCGGGTACTATTTCCGCGCGGGGCGGGGCGCGGGGCGGCTGAACTGGCATATATTCCTTCCGCCGGGAGCGTGGTGCTTCAGCGCGGCGGAGTGCGCGGAACGCGCGGGGACGAACCTGGGCTCTACTAAAACGTATCCGGTCGACGGCACCACTAAGGTAACGAGGTGAATTCTGAGTGGACTCAAAAGTCAACGTGCGGGGTTGTCTTTTGAGTCAAAACGCACGAGGTGACTTTTAAGGTAAAGAGTTTACTCAAAAGTCAACGCGCGGGGGCGAACCTGGGCTCTACAAAAACGTATCCGGTCGACGGCACCGCTAAGGTGTGCGCTAATTATGCAACCCTTGGTTCTATCTTCGCGTCTCGTTGTGTCGTCACCTCGTCGTTGCCTCTTATGGCGTCAATTCGTTATACAGTATAAGCCTTCTTTTTTTTGTATGATACATATGTATAGCATGTCCTTCACTTCGAAATCCCTCCAGCGCATGGCCGCTCCTCTGCATACGTTCCCCCATCCCCGCCCCGCCCATCCCGCACCTCAAATCTAGGCCCACCAGGCACCAACGGCATTCCGACCAGCCCCTGATAGTCTTCTATCTCTCCTTGAAAACCCCCAGCCCCTGATAGTCTTCTATCTCTCCTTGAAAATCCCCAGCCCCTCCCACCGCTCCCACCTGTCAGCGACGATTCCGTCAATCCGCGAACCAGCCCTTGATAACCTTTTCTCTCCCCTTGAATTCCCCCCTCGCGCCCCTCCCGCCCCTCCCACCGCTCCCACCCGTCCGCTCCGTTCCCTCAGAGCAAGGTCATCAGCCCGCCATTCAACGGCATACTGAGCGGCGACGAGTCCGTCAATCCGTGAACCAGCCTCTGATAGGTTTCTCTCCCTCCTTGAACCCCCTTTCCCACCACTCCCACCCGTCCGCGCTCCTCCAGAGCAAGGTTATCAGTCCCCCCTTCAACGGTATATTGAGCGGCGACGGTTCCGTCAATCCAGCCTTCTATAACTGGAACCTCGTACGAGTCGTGTATTGTGACGGCGGCGGTTTTCTCGGAACTAGAGGGCGGGTGTCTTCTAACGGGGATGTGGTGTACATGGACGGATGGAACATTATACAAGCGATTCTGAAAGGTGAGCCAGAGGCATTGCGTGTCGCATGCATTATTGTGAGAGTATTCAATTTGCGCAGGTAGAAAACTGTTGAGTTTCTACAGCAACCTCTGGCTGCTTTAACTGGGTTTTTGCCTCTGATCATCACACATCTACTCACTCCCTCTCCCCTCCACTCCCCTCGCTCTCTCTCACCCTCTCTCCTCCCCCGCTCTTTACGCTCCCCCCCCCGCTTCTCCCCAGACCTCCAGGTCAATAGGGGCATTCGCTCAGCCTCGCGCCTGCTCATTTCCGGGAGCTCCGCTGGCGGGCAGGCGGTGGTGCATCTGTGCGACACCATCGCTGCTGCTGTTCCCTCCGCTGATGCACGCTGCGTCGTCGACTCGGGGTTCTTTGTTGGTGCGCATGTGGAGAGAGGAATGAGATGAGTGTGTGTTGTTCGTGTAACAGCAAGGGCACGTGTCATGAGTCGCTTCAAAAGGCGCCTTTTGAAGCGCCACAAGCAGTTGCTGTGCCTTCCTCTGATGCGCGCTGCGTTGCCGACGCGGGGTTCTTGGTTGGTGAGCGTGGTGAAGAAGGAGGCACGCGTGTGTCGTGTATGGCTTGAGGGGGAAGGGGCACGTGTGTTGAGGCGTGTGGAAAACAGCTAATGCGTGCTGCGTCGTCGACTCGGGGTTCTTTGTTGGTGAGCATGTGGAGAGAGGAATGAGATGAGGGTGTGTTGCTTGTGTAACAGCAGGGGCACGTGTCGTGAGGCGCCTCAAAAGTTGTGTGTCGCGGCATGAAAACAAATGCCTGCTGCATAGTTGGCTCTGGATCCTTTGGTGACTTTTGAGTCGACTCAAAAGTCACCTCCTTTTCCAGTGTGCATGTGGAAACAAGGATAGATGTGTCTTGTGCGTGTAAGCAGGGTACTGTCTATTGTGCAGCAGTCCTTTAGCTGGCTTTAGTGGCAGCCTTTTGTCTTAGAAGCTTTGGTCATTCTGTGAAGTATTCGATATTGGAAGGCTTACTTATGTTTTGTTTGGTTTTGGCTTACATCTGTTGTGACAGCAACTCAACCCCCCTGCAACCCGCTCCCCCTACCCCCAGCTCCCCCACTCATTTCTTAACCCCCCCCCCCCCCCGTGCTTTCAACCCCAATCCATTTCCGCCGCCCCCTTCGCGCCTTTCCCCCGGATCAGATTCGGAGGACCGCAGCGGCAGCTTCTACTTCCGCTCTCTGGCGCAGAAAATGGTGGCGCTGCACCAGCCCAACTTCGGGGACTGCGCGCAAGGTGACGCGCCGAAATATTCATGCGCTTACTACACTTCTGTAGGAAAGCTCTATATGTTCCACGGAGTCTTTTCGCTTCCAGCACTCTCTATGTTGCTGAGAGAGGCTGTCATTTGGTCATCTATCTCCCCTCATCTCCCTTCCAGTCCCCAGATTACACTGATAAAGAATTGAGTGTTACCACAAATGGAAGTTCTCCCAAACACATTAGCGCTCAACTCCTTGTTTCCCCCCTCCCCCTCCCCCTCCCCTTTCGAACGTCACCCGTTGCAGCTTACTCCTCTACATACCGGTGGCGTTGCTTCTTTCCCCAATACACCATCTCCCGCACTGTTTCCACGCCTCTCTTCGTTTTCAACACGCTTTTTGACAACATTGCTCTCACCATTGGAAAGCAACTGCCGAGCGAGAAAGCATATGTGAGTCAATGCTTAGGGGAGATTCTAAACAGATCAGGTAATATAACCAATATAGTTCGGACGAGATCATGGGCAGGTCTACAGTGGAGCACGAATTACTGTACAAGTGCGGAAAGAGAAGCGATTTTTGAAAGCGCGTTTATGGTTTATAAGGAGACTATTGTGTTCGATGATGCGAAGCCATCTGCGAAGGTGTTTCTGCCAGCTTCGTCAATCCACTGCGCAATCTTTGGAGCGACAAACTGGAATAAAGGGATGATAGGAGGGGTTTCTTTTAATGAGGTTTTACAGGACTGGATGGGTGTCTGAAATTGGGCAATAAAACATATACTTTTGCTGTACACTTCTGCTGTAACACTGAATTCAGCTGGACCACTTTGTACCACATTGAAAGAACACTGTACAGTTCTAACTTTTAGAGTGGCAGACCAATTGATGTGTTGTACGGTAGTAGGGAAGAGCAACATGCTACCACGGATCTGTGCTCATGAAGAAGGGCTACCATACCAATAGACTCACTCACAAACACACACTCTCTGGGCACACAACATGCAAAGTATCAGGTGCGGCTTCTCGATACCCACACATGAACAGCCAGTGATATTCACAATCGGCTCGTATGACCTGAGCTACCAGTGCCGGCACCAGCAGTAGCGGAATCACCGGCAGCGGAAGCAGCAGAGGGAGGCAGCAGAACTACCTTGCCAACTGCCTTGCGCTTCAAGAGAGTGACGATTGCTTGGTGCACCTGGAAGGTTGCCATTACACGCAACAGCATAGAGGAATCCAGTCCAGGTCAGAACAGCACAGACAATACTATGGCAGGGGAGCACGGAGTGACTTTTGAGTCGACTCAAAAGTCACTACAGGCAACAGAAGAGAGGAATCCAGAGCAGAGCAGAACAGAGCAGAGCAGAACAGCAGAGACAAAACCATGGCAGGGGAGCACTGAGTGAGGCAGGGCAGGGGAGCAAGAAGTCAGGAGATGGCACAGGCAGGAGAAGAGGGGGGAAGGGGAAACATGAAGGGAGGGTTGGGGAACACAATGGGGGGGTGGATGAAGGAGCGAGGACGACAAATTGGATAAGGAGAAGGGGAGCAGGGAGGCAGGGAACACCCCATGCAAATACGGTGCTGTAGCCATGCGCCATGCGTGTTCCAGCCATCCATGTGCAAGTCGTTTGGGGTGACCCTCACTGCATGCGGTGGCAATGCGGTAATCATGGGTAGCAATGCGGTAGCCATGTGAGCCCACCTGGTTGAATGTGAAGGAGTGTGAGACGTGCACGGAGATGGCGCCCTTAGCAAGCCATGCAAGGAGTTGATGCATAGAGGCACGGAGGACAGCCGGGTCGTGCTGCATGTAGCTGCCCCAGTACACGCCGTGAATGGTGAGGTTCTGAGCGGGGAAGAGGTGAGGGGCGAAGGAAAAGAGGCGGGGAGAGAGGGGGGAGATAAGGAGATGAAGAGGAGGAGGGAGGGGTGTGAGGGGTGCGATAAGTCGGTTTCATTGTGGTGCAGTGACTGTGTAACAAGCAGCAACTTAGTTACATTTCCCGCATGCTACCTTCACCACATGTTCACTTGACTTTTGAGGCGCCTCAAAAGTCGCAGCTGGTTTTTGAGAATTCTCAAAAACCGGCGCCTCAAAAGTCGCATGCTACCTTCACCACATGTTCACTTGACAAGGGCAATGTTAGCAGGGATACTGGGAATGGCACCGCTGGCAAAGCCGATGACCAGCACGTGCCCGCACCACACAGCGCATCACCACATGACACCTTCACCACAACCTACCTTCACGAGAGCGATGTTAGCGGGGATACTGGGAATGGCACCGCTGGCAAAGCCAATGACCAGCACGTGCCCGCACCACACAGCGCATCACCACATGACACCTTCACCACAACCTACCTTCACGAGAGAGATGTTAGCGGGGATACTGGGAATGGCACCGCTGGCAAAGCCAATGACCAGCACGTGCCCGCACCACACAGCGCATCACCACATGACACCTTCACCACAACCTACCTTCACGAGAGCGATGTTAGCGGGGATACTGGGAATGGCACCGCTGGCAAAGCCAATGACCAGCACGTGCCCGCCCCACCGCATCACGCGCAGCCCCTGCTTGAACTGCTCGCCGCCCACCGTGTCAAACAGCACGTCCACCCCCCCGCTGCCCCTGCCGCCCTTGCCGCCCTTGTCGCCCGCCCCGCCGCCTGGCCTGCCGCCCGGACCACCGGCGGAGCGCTCCTGGGATCGCTGTTTAAGAAACTGGTTGGTTTGGTCACGGATGGCGTTGGGGTGTGTGTGCTGTGCCGTGTCGATCACGAGGTCTGCTCCCAGTGATGCCAGGAGACTGGCCTTCTCTGCTCCTCTGGGAGATAGGGAATGAGAAGGGGAGAAAGGGGGAAACGGCAAGGGAGAGGAGCAGGGGAGGAGCAACGGGAGAGGAAGGAGGAAAGGGGGAGGGGTGAAAGGGTGAAAGGGAGAAAGGGTAAGCTGACTTTTTCGTACCGTCCGCCTGCTTGGAAAAAATGCAATTCCAGCACTGGCACTCGTATCTGCAATGCGTATCTTGCAGTGCTGGCTGGCACACGGCACACGGCACACGGCACACGGCACGCCCATGCCGCCTTCTTGCTTCTGAGTTATTGTGAAAACGATTCCACTAACCCCCACCTGGTAACGGCAATGACCGTGGCCCCTAGGAGCGCATGATTTTTGAGAATTCTTAAGAAACATACACTGCATATCTGCACTGCTGCCACGCCCACACCCAGGAATGATGCAGCCAGGCCAACCAACCACTGGCCCCACCACCAGCCTCACCATCCTCACCATCCTCACCATCCTCACCAGCCTCACCAGCCTCACCAGCCTCACCAGCACCCTCACCTGGCAACAGCAATGACAGTGGCCCCTAGAAGCTTGCATATCTGCACTGCTGCCACGCCCACGCCGCCCCCCGCTCCCAGCACCAGCACCACGTGCTCCCTCCCCACGTGCGCTCGCTGCGTGAGCGCCAGATGGGCCGTGCCGAACGCCACTGGCAGCGCTGCTGCTGCTGGGAATGGCACTGTGGGAGGGATGTGGAAACTGGAAGGAAAGGGGGAGAAGGGGCGGAAGGCAAAAGAGAGAAGACACGAGGTGCGGGAGGGACATGAGGTGGGGAAGGGGGGACTGTGAGGTGGGGGTGCTGTGGGTTTGGGGGAAAAGAGCAGATTGGCCCTAGTTCCGCCCCCCGCTCCCAGCACTAGCACCACATGTAATGAGGTTATCTTTAAGACGTCTCAAAAATAACCTCATTACACCTAGCTCCGCCCCCCGCTCCCAGCACTAGCACCACATGTAATGAGGTTATCTTTGAGACGTCTCAAAAATAACCTCATTACACCTAGTTCCGCCCCCTGCTCCCAGCACTAGCACCACATGTAATGAGGTTATCTTTAAGACGTCTCAAACATAACCTCATTACACCTAGTTCCGCCCCCCGCTCCCAGCACTAGCACCACATGTAATGAGGTTATCTTTAAGACGTCCCAAAAATAACCTCATTACACCTAGTTCCGCCCCCCGCTCCCAGCACTAGCACCACGTGTCCCCTCCCCACGCGTGCCCGCTGCGTGAGCGCCAGATGGGAAAGGCTGGGAGTGCTGTTGCTGCTGGGAAGGGCACTGCGGTAAGGATATGTGTGGAAACTGGGCGGGAAGGAGAAGGGGAAAGCAAGGAGAAAGAGACAAAAAGGTTGGAGGAGAGGCAAAAAAGGCAGGGAAGGAGGGCGTGGGAAGGCATGGGGGGAGGGGGGGAGGGGGGGAGGGAGGGAGGGAGGGGGGGAAGGGGGGAGGGAGGGAGGGAGGGAGGGAGGGAGGGAGGGAGGGAGGGAGGGAGGGAGGGAGGGAGGGAGGGAGGGAGGTAGGTAGGGAGGGAGGGAGGGAGGGAGGGAGGGAGGGAGGGAGGGAGGGAGGGAGGGAGGGAGGGAGGGAGGGAGGGAGGGAGGGAGGGAGGGAGGGAGCGAGGGAGGGAGGGAGGGAGGGAGGGAGGGAGGGAGGGAGGGAGGGAGGGAGGGAGGGAGGGAGGGAGGGAGGGAGTTAGGTAGGTGGAAAGTGGGAGAGGAAGGAAGCCACTCAACATCAAGTACTAACGGTTTTTCAAACTAGCTTCCACCATCCAGCCACTGCCACACTGCACAGCGCCTCACACGCTCCCTCCCTCCCTCAAACTACTAGTCTCTCAATCACCACACTTCCTTTCTCTCTTCCCTCTCCCCACCTCCCCATTTCCCCCGTATCCCCATTTCCACCGTCCCCGTTTCCCCAATCACTCACCACGAGCCTTCATCTGCCACTGCCAAATCCGCAAACCCCCCTCCTTCCACCACGGCGCAAACCCTGTCCCCTCTCTTAAACCCTCCCACGCCTTCCCCCACCTCCTCCACCACCCCCGCCACCTCTGCGCCCGGGACAAACGGCACCGGGGGTCGTTCCTGGTACTGCCCCATAATTTGCAGGGCGTCCGCGAAGTTTAGACTGGCTGCTGCCACACGAATGAGGACGGACGAGGAGGACGGGGGGCGGTGAAGGGAAGGGACTGGGAAGTTGCGCTCGAATGCGAGGATGGCGTCCTGGGGGAGGGGAGGGGAGGGGAGGGGAGGGGAGGGGAGGGGATGGGAGGGGAGGGGAGGGGAAGGAGTGAGGCGAAAGGCGGAGTTTCATTTTGAGGCGCCTCAAGAATAGTGTCTTGGGGGAGGGGAGGGGAAGGAAACGGGTGAAAGGTGGAGCGAGGATGGCAGGAAAAAGAGAAGACAGGAGAAGAAGGAAGGAGGGGGGAAGGTAGGGGAGGGTGGTGCAGAGAAAGTGAGCGAGCAAGAGAGCGAGAAACAGAGCGAGAAAGAGAGCGAGAAAGAGAGTGAGCAAGAGAGGAAGCAGAAAGACGGAGCCACAGATTCAGAGCGTGAAGGGGCAGATTCAGAGCGTGAAGGGGCAGATTAAGAGCGTAAAGGGGCAGAGCATCTCTATGTCTATCCATAGCGTGAGTGGGCTTCAGGTTGCCAAGCAGCAACCGGCATGCGGACAGCAGGCACGACTATAAGGAGGAAAGGAGGAGCATGTGCCAATGCTGTGCTGCACGTTCCATGTGTTTTCCTCACAGCATTACCACCCCCCCCCCCCACCCTCCCGCCCCCACACCCTCCCCCCCCCCCCCCCTCCCTCGCCGTCTTATTTCCCCTTCCTGCCTTTTTTAATGTTTTTCACCTTCTTGCACTTACCTTCTAGAATTTACCACTCACTGGACCCTCGCACCGGCACACTACAGGTGGCACCTCGCGCGCACTACGAGTTACAACTCCGGACCCACCTTTTCCGACGGCGGATCGGACGGCTTGAGAGACCCCACGCGCCGACACACTACAGCGTCCATCGCGCGAGTTGCGGCGCGAATTGCGGAGCGAGCAGAAGAAACGGCACAAAAAGGTAGAAATTCAAATAATTTCTGTGACCAATTTCTTCCTGCTACTGAGCCTTTTGAGGCACTTCAAAAGTCGCGCTTTCTTTCTGCTACGGAGCCTCTGAGACTGAGACGAGAGAGGATGACCGCTGCTGGTAATCCGAATCTGCTGGGCGCACTCGGTGTCACGTCACGTCTGTATTTTGCTTAAATTCGTCGAATGTGGACAGCTGCCGTGTACGCGAGCCACGTACGCACGGGCCGCGCGGGGAAATTAAATGGTCGCGAGAAGTGGCAGCCCTGGCAGCCCTTAGCGCGCAGTGAAGGAAGGTGTGACAGCTAAATACGCGGGCAGCGGGGTCTGCTGCATGTCTGCCAAGTTAGCTCAGGACGAAGTTATCGCTTCGCTGCCAATTGAATTTCCTGCGACACACCGCTTCAGGAGGGGTCAGTGCGTGGGCTGTGGAGTGTCGTGTGCGAAAGCCTGCGAGCGTCGCAGAGCTGCCAAAACAACATTCGTTGCGGCAAACTCGATGTGGCTGGGCTCGAGGTCAGGTACAAATTCAATGCACAGAACAGTTTGAGTGTAAGAATCAAGTATACTACCGCATTGTGGAATAGTAATGGTGCCGTATTTGGGTCTAATGAGAGGACTAGCAGAGAAACAAGATGTTAAGGAAAAGAAAAAGAATCAAATTCTGTGTGGGCTATACAGAAGGATAAAACCTCTCCAGAAGGGCATCTAATTGCTTCACAAAGTGAGATTCTGGGAGATCAGTAGCACACATGGAATTCTTGGTCACAGCCGCAGCTGTTACAGTTAGTGTTAGCTAGACGAAGCTGCAGTCACATTGCTGCATCTTGCGCCTCATCTCCTGCGCCCCATATCACTCTACCCATTCCATCAATCTCCTTAACATTTACACCACCACTTCCCACTCCTCACCTACCCCTCTCCACCAAACCAATACCACTCTGTCCCTCCATCCCACCTCTGCACAACAACCCCCCTCCACATTCCCCGTCCCTCTTCCCAACTTCCGCATTATACCCCCCCCCACCATCCCTTCCCCCTCCTCCCCCCCTCCAAAACACCCCCTCCTCATTCGGTCGGCCCGCCTTGGTCGTGTTCAATGAATGCAAGAGCAGCATGCTGGTCGATGACCTTCACGGTGCTCACACGGTTCTTATGGAACACCCCGTACACGCGGTCCGCCACCTTCACCAGCTCCGGGCGGAACGTCGTGATCACAAACTGCGTGCCCGACTCGTCTGCTTGCTTGCGGATCATGCCTGGTTGGGGGAGTGGGGAGGGGTGGAGCGGGCGCGGCGGCGGCGGAGGGGAGGCGTGGCAGCAGGGGTGGGGCCAAAAAAAATAAAGATGAAAGGAGATGCAAAGGGGGGGGAAGGGAGGCGGGGACAATGGGGACAATTAGCATCCCATGAACAGCATGAGCATCCTGTGCACGAACTGTAAGTGGACAAGACACCAGCCTGACGAAGACGAAGACAGCCTGACTAAGCGGGGGTGGTAAATGTGAAGGCAACTCGCAAGCAACCTCCAGTTGTAAGAAACTCAACGGAAGGACAGGCAAGCACGACCGATTAAGGCAAGAAGTTAAGAGAAAACGCAAGAGTGCGAGAGGGAGTGCAAAAGTGTGAGAGAGAGTGAGAGTGTGAGAGAGTGTGAGTGTGTGGCATCTGGCACTCACTTCCCACAGCAGCCCGGTACTGGGGGTCCAGAGCTGCGTCTATCTCATCAAACAGATCTGCAGCCAGGGAGAGGATTTGCGAGGGAGAGCAGAGAAAAGGAAGGAAAGGAAAGCAAAGGACGAGTGTTAGTGAGCACGGAAAGATACGGGAGGAGATGCGTGACCGAATAAACGCATAGTCAAGTTAAAGCCCGAGTCCCAAATTGCAAGCCGCGCGGGTCAAGTTTTTAAAACTTGATGCTGCGTAGCTTGCAAACTTGAAAAAAGTGCAGCTGCAATTTGGGACTTTCAAGCTCCCACCAGGGGAAAGGCGAGGTTTGGCTGTGTGCTGCGAAAAAACGGATTTCACGAAATTGATCTCTCGCCACAGCCCAAAAATTGAACTACCTAACCTTTTAAAACTTGCGCAATTCGTTAACCCTGAACCGTATAAACGGCTTGTCAAGTTAAGGTGCACAATCAGACGAATCCAAGCATCATATGGCAAAGTCACGATGCTGGAGAGTGCATATCATGAAGAGTGCATATGATGAAGAGTGCATATGATGAAGACTGCATGTAATGGAGGGAAAGTGTGGGTGTAAGGGAGGGCGAGTGTGAGGGACAGTGAAGGAGAGTGCGAAGGAGCGAGTGATAGAGAGTGATGAAGTGTGGGAGGGTGAGAGGGTGAGAGAGGAACGCACAGAATGGAGCGGGGTCGCACTGCTGGATGGCGAAGATGAGTGCGAGGGCCACCACGGTCTTCTGCCCTCCCGACAGCTGCCGCATGGCCTGCGTCTCTCCCTGCCCTGTGAATGACACCTGGGGAGAGCACAAAGAGACCAGGGAGGGAGAGTGCGAGGGAGACGGGGGGGGGGGGGGGGGAGGGAGAGAGAGAGGAGCGCACACGATGCAGAAAAGATGAGTGCGAGGGCCACCACGGTCTTCTGCCCTCCTGACAGCTGCCGCATGGCCTGAGTCTTCCCCTGCCCTGTGAACGACACCTGGGGAGAGCATGGAGGATGGAGCATGGAGGGAGGGTGAGGGGGTGAGAGGGGAGAACACATGATGGAGAAGAGATGAGTGCGAGGGCCACCACTGTTGTTTGCCTTCCCGACAGCTGCCGCATGGCCTGCGTCTCTGCCTGGCCCGTGAATGACACCTGCGTCACTCCCGGCCCCATGAACGACACTTGCGGAGCTGCAAACGAGCTGCACGAGCTGCCACTCGTTTCAGAATTACCCCTATCACCGCTCCCACTCACAACTCAAAGCGGTGAGAAGAGAAGAGGAAGCGGAGGAGGTGGGGGAGGAGGAGGGGAGGAGGGAGGGGAGAGCAGGGCAGAGGCGAGAAGGGAGGATCGTGCACCCACCTTGACCCTCACTCTCACGTAATTACCCAGCCGATTATCCGCATCTCCATCCCTTCCCCCTTCACCGCCCTCATCCTCATCCTCATCCTCATCCTCGTCCTCATCCACGTCCGCCGCCTCGTCCTCCTTCCTCTTGCGCACCATCACCAGCTGGGCGCTCTTTGCGAGGAATCCCCAACCACCACCCACAACTCAAAGTGGAGAGAAGGGATGAGGAGTAGGGGAGGAGGGTAGGAGGCGAAAGAAGAGGGGAGGAGGCGAGAGGCAGGGGAAAAAGGCCCACACACACCTTGACCCTGACTCCCGCGTATTTATCCAGCCGGCTGTCCGCTTCGCCATCTCTTCCCCCGCCACCGCCCTCCTCATCGTCCTCATCCTCATCCACCGCCTCGTCCTCCTTCCTCTTGCGCACCATCACCAGGGACCCGTGCCCGCTGCGCACGAGCTGCGCGAAGGTCTCTCGGAAGTTACGCGCCACCTGCTTGAAGGTGCGCTCCAAGGCCTCGTCCTTGCGCTGATCCAACACGCCTATCAGCTCCTTGATCTTCTGCTCGGGGGGGGAGGAGGGGGGGGGGGGGGGGAAGAGAGGGAAAAGGGCGAGCCAGGAAAGGGGATGGGGAAACCAGAGAGAGGAGGGAAGTGAGGAACAGGAGCCAACGGGAAGCGAGGAGCAGAGACCTGCTTGAAGGCGCGCTTCAAGGCCTCGTCCTTGCGCTGATCCAACACGCCTATCAGCTCCTTGATCTTCTGCTCTGGTGGGAGGGGGGGGTGGAGGGACGAAGCGAGGAAAGAGGTGTGAGAGAGAGGGAGCGAGGTTGAAAGAGGTGCAGAGGGGTGAGATTGCTCAAACGTTCTCTCCAGAGTCTCCTTGATATTCTGCTCCTTGATATTCTGCTCCTTGATATTCTGCTCCTTGATATTCTGCTCCTTGATATCCAATCAGCTCTTTGATATTCTGCTCGAGGGGGATGTGAGGATGGGGGAGGAGGAAGGGGAAGAGGGAGAAGGACAGGGGAGCCAAAAGGGGGGATGAGGGAAGCAGGACGGGAGAGAGGAGGGAAGTGAGGAAAGGGAGCCAATGGGAAGCGAGGAGCAGAGGAATGGGGGATGGCAGAGGTGGGGAGAGGTGACGAGAGGTGGAACTGCAAGCCTCCACAGGAATGCATGAGCTGCGAAAAGGAGGAAGCAACTAAGAACTTCCCTTGCTTTCTTACAATTTCTAGGTTGCAAGATTCACTCAACACCCTTCCTCCACAATCAGTCTCCCTGCACCTTTGCCCCCATTCGCCCTTCTCCTCCCCCACACACCTCATCCCTTAACCCCTCCCTCAAGCACTTCAAGCACCCTCCAACCACGCCCATGCATTTGGATTTCCCTCCCTGCACCTATGCTCCTCTGCCCCGCTTCCGCACCACCTCTACCCCTCCCCAGTTCCCGTCTCCCCCCCCTTCCCCCGCACCTCATCGCTCCTATCCAGCTCCAGCTGCCGGCGGTGCATCTCCTCGCGCTGTTCCGTGAAGTTCACGTACTGGTCCAGCGCCTTGCGGTTCACATGTCCAAAGCCCTGCACCTCCTCGTTGCACTGGTGCAGCAGCCGGTGCAGCTCGCGCATACTCTGCTTCTGGTACCTGTGGTGGGGAAACAAGGGGGGGGGAACAAGAAGGGGGGAGAAGGGGAACGAGGCGGGGGAGCAAGGGAGGTACACACACACGAAGGAGGGACGGGGGCTGATGTGAGAGGGAAGGGGGTTTGACTGCACAGGTGCATCAACTGGTCCAGCGTGTTGCGATTCATGTGCCCAAAGCCTTAGATCTCCTCATTACATTGGTGCAGCTCACGCATACTCCGCTTCTGGTACCTGCGGGGGCGGGTGGGAGGGGGAAACGACAGGGAGAATGTGCAAGTGAAGCGGGAAAGTTCACCACTACAGTGTGGTACAGCAACCGGTGCAGCTCGTGCATACTCTGCTTCTGGTACCTGCGGGGGGGAGGGGGGATGGGGGGAAAGGGGAAACGACAGGGAGAATGTGCAAGTGAAGCGGGAAGATTGACCACTACAGTTTGCTGCAGCAGCCAGTGCAATTCGCGCGTACTCTGCTTCTGGTACCTGCGGGGGGTCGAAGGAGGGGGCCAGGGGGAAGAGAATCGGGGAGAAGACAGGCAACAATCACCAGTATGATAATTGCAGAATTGGGTGAGAGTGCAGGTGAAGCGGGCAGGGGTTGGGGGGCTTCACCACTAGTATGGGTTGCTTCCACAAGCGGTGCATCTCGCGCATGCACTCTGCTTCTGTGAGGCAAGGATCGATCCTTTGCTCCTCTGATGCACACAAAAACACCAGCAACGGCCACTCACTTGTCAAAGGCGTCAGCAGGCAGTGAGCCGAGGTCTTTGATCTTCTTCAGAGTTGAGCACCTTCCAAAGCGGATATGGTGGGGGGGCAAGCAATCCCTCATTCGCCCAACGCACACAAGCGCAGCAGCAGCACCAGTCACTCACTTGTCAAAGGCATCAGCAGGCAGCGAGCCGAGGTCCCTGATCTTCTTGCTCGCCTCGTCACGCTTGTGCTGCCACACGCTGCGCTGGTTCAGCAGCTGCTCCAACGCCTTGCCCTCGTCCTGCACTGCCCGCTCCCACTCCTCCTCTTGTTGCTGCCGGAGGAGCAGCAGCAAACAGCAGACGGAGGAGGCGAATGGGGACGACGGTGGTGATGGCAGCAGGGAGCAGGGGAAGCAGGAAGGAAGGCCAGGTAGGCAGGGGAAGCAGCAGAGAAACTCAAAACCACGAACCGGGAACAGGGGAGCGGGGACAATGGGAAAGGGTAGGTCCAAGGAATTATAGTCACGATTTACAAAATGAGCTGTAAAACCCCCCTTCTCCCCCATTTCTAAAGTGGTCCATCCATATACTGATTGGACGCCTGGGCACATTATTACAACCAGGTGCGAGCTCTTCAAACCCTTAAACCCTGAGCGCCCTAAACCCTCCAAGAAAATCTGTTTCATCTGTGCTGTGCTAGTTACGCATTGCAGCGCAAGATGTGGTATCTCTCACCTTGAGCTTGTCCTTGTTCGCTTTCAGCTCCCTGATCTCTTTCATTAGCTGCTCCATACGGCTCCCCACACCTGGTAGTACCAGCAGGACGGGCGGAGAGGCAGAGGCAGGCACAAGCCCAGGGGACGATGGGGATCAGATGGCAGAGAGAAATGAGTTAGTCTACCGATTTGAATCAAGGCATTCTCTCTTCACTCTCCCTTGCAGCACTTCACACAAGGCACACAAGGCGCACAGCACACACAGCACACACAGCGCACAGCTCAGTCGGGTGCAATGCCGCACGCGAACAGCTGCCAAGTTCACCCCCCGAAAACGCAGACATTTCCTCATTAAAGCTCTCGACCGTGTGAGCAGCAGCCACCTCGACCGATTGTGCTCCTGCACTAGCTCCTGCAGCGCATTATCAGCAGCGGCTGCCTTTGACCTTTGAGACGCCTCAGATCTGACTGGACATTGCAAGATTTAATGCTTGAGTTGTCATGTCACAACACCCGATCAAACGACTCACGCTTGTGCTCCTGCACCAGCTCCTGCAGCGCATTATCAGCAGCAGCCGCCTCTGCCCGGCGCCCCTCCAGCTCGCTGCGCCGGGACGCCACATACACCACGTCCACCTCCGCCTGCACCTCGTCCTGCCGCCTCAGCAAGTTCTCTGTTAAAGCAGTTTCCAGCTGGCTCATGCGACTCTCCACCTGTGGGCAAAAGAGGCGAGGTGTTGGCGTGAGGAGGGGCAAAGGAGAGCGGAGACGAGGAGGTTTATGACGGGGGACAAGGGGTGATGGATGGGTTGAGGAGAGCCGACTACAGCCCATCCCTCCAGCTCGCTGCGCCGGGACGCCACATGCACCACGTCCACCTCCGCCTGCACCTCGTCCTGCCTCCGCAGCAGATTCTCCGTCAAAACAGTTTCCAGCTGGCTCCGCCTGCGAATGATTAAGCGGGGTTGGCATGAGCAGGGGCAAAGAAGACGGGGGATGAGGCGAGGGGAGAGGGTGGGGTAGAGAGGCGATGAGTAAAGCCAATCCCTCCAGCTCACTGCGCCGGGACGCGACATGCACCACGTCCACCTCCGCCTGCACCTCATCCTGCCAAAGCCCCTGCCCTTATAAACTCCCAACCCTACACCCCCACTGCCAACCGCCTCTCCCTCATCTCCAGGCCGGTGCGCTTGCACGCCAGCAGCTGCTGCTTCACGCTGTCAATCTCCGGCACCATCGCCTCCACCTCTGCCTGCTCGCCCGCACTCAGCCCTTTTCCCGCACCTGCATCCTCTCACGCTCCAATACCAGACCTCCCATTTTCATCCACCCTCCAACTAATCATCCCCGACTATTTTCCCCCGCCTCTCCCTCCTGCCAACACGCTGTCACCTTAAAACCCCAAACCCTGAACCCTGACTCCCAATCCCCTTCCCTCACCTCCAGGCGGGTGCGCTTGCACGCCAGCAGCTGCTGCTTAACGCTGTCAATCTCCGGCACCAGCGCCTCCACCTCGGCCTGCTCGCCCGCGCTCAGCCCTGCCACGAGCGCCGTGCCAATCTCCCCCCGCTTCGCCTCCGCCGCTGCCTGCTGCTCCTCCACACTCGCCCTCAGCTTCCCCACCGCCTCCTCCTGTGGGGCAACGGCGGTGGTGGTGATGATGATCGTGGCGGTTGTGTGGAGGGAACATGGGGCGGAAGAAGAGGGAGGGGGTCGGGGAAAGGGGCAGGGATGAGGGGTCAAGGCCGGGAAACAGGGAATGGGAAGGACGGGGAAAGGATGAATGATGAGCAGAGGCAGGTGTGGTGTTTCCTCAACCGCAACTCTGCCTGCTCGCCCGCGCTCAGCCCTGCCACGAGCGCAGTCCCAGTCTCCCCCCGCTTCGCCTCCACCGCTGCCTGCTGCTCCTCCACACTCGCCCTCAGCTTCCCCACCGCCTCCTCCTGAGGGGACAGTGGTGGGGGGGAGGGTTGTGGTGGTGTGGTGTTTCAAGTAGGGATGAGGAAAAAAACAAGTGAGAGTGTTTTGGCACCGCTGCCTGCTGCTCCTCCACACTCGCCCTCAGCTTCCCCACCGCCTCCTCCTGGCGGATGCATGGCAGGGGGAGCGGTGGAAAGGTAAAATAGTAGCATTGTTGGCGTGAGTCGGAAGAAATTGGATGGGAAAATGGGGAAAGGAGGAAGGGGGGACAAGGGGAAAGTGGGAGGGGGGACAAGGGAAAAGGGGAAAGGGGGAAGGGGGGAAAGGGGGAAGACGGGAAAGGGGGAAGGGGGGAAGAGGGAACAACAGGTGCTTCTGCTTTGCCTCTAAACAATTACTTAGCATTCTCCTCCCCCTCGCCCTGCAGCCCACGACCCCACCCCCCCTTCACCCAGAACGCCCACCCACCTTCGAGTTGACCCTTGAGCCCTCGCATATCCGCGCGCGTCTGCTCCAGCAGCGACACCAGGTGCATTCTACCTCCTGTTGGCGCACCCTCCTCCCTGCGCAACCCCCCTCACTCACTACGCCCACCCACACACCTTCTGCTCGCACGCGGCCTGGTTGGCAGCTAGCTGCCCCTTGAGCCCTCGCATGTCCGCACGCGTCTGCTCCAGCAGCGACGCCAGGTGCCTCTGCTTCGCCTCCAACCGCTCTAGATCCCCCAGCGCCACTGCCACTGCCTGGTCCGCTTGTGTTGATCAGCAGGGTTATAGAAGATTGCGGTTGGGATGGAGTAACGGGGAACAGGGGAGGAGAGGGAGAGGGAAGGGAGAAAGGAGAGGAGGGGGCGCGGAGCGGGGGTGGGGAAGGGGAGGGGGGAGCGAGAAAGTGGAGAAGGTGGGAGAAGGCGGGGAGATAGACAGTGCAAGAAAGAGAAGAGGGATGGAGGGGAAGAGAATAGGAGGCCCTGCAGGTCAAGGAGTACTTGGTTCCAACAAGTTCAAGAACCACACACAAGCAAGTAAAGCAGCAACAGAACGAGCCACCTTAGAAAAAAAAAAAAACAAAAAACAAAAAACAAAAACAAAAACAAAAAAAAAAACAAAAAAAAAACAAGTGAAAGAGGACGACAGGTTGAGGAGGGAGAAGGGGGACTGGGGAACGGGAGCGGGAACGGGAACGGGAACGGGAACGGGAACGGGTGTATTCCAAGAATCCCAGAAGGGCAGGTAGGGCTTTAAGAAGCCATTGAGAGGATATCTTGCATGGAGGCCTTGACCTGCCGCAGCTCCTGCTGCAACTCCCTCACACGCTGGTTGCTCTCCCTCACTGTCTGCATCAGCCGCAGCCGCGACCGCCGCGGGTCGTAGTGGCCCCCTGTCATGGCGCCCTTGCGCTCCACCTGCGACCCTGCGGACCAGTCAGTGAGTGGGGTGGGAAGAAGATATCAGGGTTTAAAACGTGGTTTGACTGGGCGAGTGAACAAGTGAGCGAGTGAGTGAGTGAGTGTGAGTGTGCGCGAGCGAGTGAGGGATGTGGTTTGAACGGACAAGGCCACACACGAGCTTGCACAATGAGACGGACCAGCAGTGCGAACTAGTCTACAAAGCGGGTAGACTGAGCGCAACAGAAAATCAAGTATGGAAGCGGGCAAGTCGGGGGGGCTTTGTGGAGAGGGGGGGGGGGAGTGGGGGTTGTCAGGGACAAGCGTGAAGGAGCCCTAATTGCTCCTGAAACCCTATGGCCCTTGCACTGCGTTGGCAGAACGGGGGGAGACGGGCCTCACCTTCCAGTGTGATGCAGTCGAAGCTTCCAGAGCGTGCCACGTCAGCTGCCACTGACAGGTCGCGGCAGACCACAGCGCGGCCAAATACCTGTACACATTCTCAGGCACACACACACACACACACACACACACACACACGCACGCACGCACGCACGCACGCACACACACACACACACACACACACACACACACACACACACACACATGCACCCAGAAGGAAATAAGAAACAATAAGCATCTCCCTGGTTTCTCAAGAAACAAACCATTAACAACCCAGAGAACCCTTCCTCGCCCAACTCCCACTGCTCTCCCAATCCTCTCTCCCCTTCCCTACCCTTGCCCCTTGCCCTCCCTGCCTTCTTCCCCCTCGACCTCCCCCTTCCCTTCTCTTCCGTCCCCCTCCCACCATTGCTCACCTGCCCGCAAGCAGCAGCGATCTGCGGCTCGTACTTGACCTTGGACAGCAGCGGCACCACGTCCTGCCTCTCCGGATACACCACCGTCGGCGCCCGCGCCTGGTTCAGCGGAATGTGATCCGTCCGCCTGTTACCTACCCACCTCCTCCCTCCCATCCACCCCCTCCCTCCCTTCCCTACCCTTCCCCCTTGCCCTCCCTGCCTTTCCTCTGTTCCCTTCTCCCTCGCCCTCCCCCCAACCCCATCTCTCACCTGTCCGCAAGCAGCAGCGATCTGCGGCTCGTACTTGACCTTGGACAGCAGCGGCACCACGTCCTGCCGCTCTGGATACGCCACCGTCGGTGCACGCGCCTGATTCAGCGGAATGTGATCCGTCCGCCTGTTACCCACCCACCTCCTCCCTCCCATCCCCCCCACTCCCTCCCTTCCCTACCCTTCCCCCTCACCGTCCCTGCCTTTCTTCTCTTCCCTTCACCCTCACCCCCCCCACTTCCCATCGTCTCATCTCTCACCTGTCCGCAAGCAGCAGCGATCTGCGGCTCGAACTTGACTTTCGACAGCAGCGGCACCACGTCCTGCCGCTCCGGATACGCCACCGTTGGTGCACGCGCCTGGTTCAGCGGAATGTGATCCGTCCGCCTGTTACCTACCCACCTCCTCCCTCCCATCCCCCCCCTCCCTCCCTTACCTACCCTTCCCCCTTTCCCTCCCTGCCTTTCCTCTGTTCCCTTCTCCCTCGCCCTCCCCCCACCCCCATCGCTTACCTGTCCGCAAGCAGCAGCGATCTGCGGCTCGTACTTGACCTTGGACAGCAGTGGCACCACGTCCTGCCTCTCCGGACACGCCACCGTCGGTGCACGTGCCTGGTTCAGCGGAATAAATGTGATCCGCCCGCCCCTCTGCTGGTTCAAGTACCGCACGAGCCGGGCGGCAGTCTCGTCATTATCCACCACGACATTGAACAGGCTGTTGCCTGCGGTGACTTCGACCGCAGTGACGAACTTGTCGTCGCAGGCTACGAGCTCCAGCAGCGGCCCGTGCACCCCCCGGATGGAATGGTCCCTCACTATCTGGCGCAGCGAGAAGAGCCCGCGGCGGATGTCCTGAGGGGTGGGGGGGGGCAGATGCGGGGAAGGGGATGGGGATGGGGGCGGGGAAGGGGGAAGGGGGCGGGGACGGGGAGGAGGGGAAGAAGCAGAATGCGGGGCGGGGGGAGAGGAGAGGAAGGGAGCACAGGGGAGGAAGGGAGAGTGAGTTGAAGAGACTGTTTCCTGCGGTGATTTCAAGCGCAGTGACGAACTTGTCGTCGCAGGCTACGAGCTCCAGCAGCGGCCCGTGCACCCCCCGGATGGAATGGTCTCTCACTATCTGGCGCAGCGAGAAGAGCCCACGTCGGGTAAGACAGGATCCAGAGCAGCAGCAAGAGACACACTATGCGAGACAGCGCAACACACGGAAAGAGGTCCGAAACAGTGTGAGCGAGCGAGCGAGATGACAGCAAGAGGGAGGTCATCGAAGCAACAAAAGACTCGCAACAACACCATGCCCGTCTCCTTACACCAAACATACTGCACGGTGCACACCCTGCACCAGACAGCACCACACTGCACCACACCGCACCACAACGTACCCTGGGGGTTGACTTGTCCAGCTGCCCCTCCGCTCGATCCTTCTCCTCGCTCACTCGCTTCACCTCTGCTGCCAGGTCCGCTTCCTGCTTCATCAGCTGCCTGGAGAGAGGGGAAGGGCAAGCAGGGAGAGAGCAGAGTGAGAGCAGGGAGGGAGCAGAGAGAGAGCAGAGAGAGAGCAGACAGAGAGCGCAGACAGAGGATGGGGAGAGAGCAGACCAAGAGCAGGGAGATAGAATACAGAGAGCAGGCAGAAAATAAGGTTAATTTCGTTAGGAATGAAATAAACAGAGACGAACAGGCGAAGGAGGGGGAATGAGGTTAAAACGGTAGAACAAAATAGTTAAAGAGCGGAACGGGAAGGAGGGGGTCAATGGGCGAAGAGAATGTTGCGTTGCATGGGAGGAGAAAATGCTCTATAAAAAAATCACCGCAATCTCACTCCTATACGCGTCAAAGATTGAACCATGCCTCCTCAGCCCAGAGCCAGAGCACCTACTTGCGGCGGCTGTTTTGCTCGTCCCTCCGTGCCTTGGCCCCTCGCATCTCCTCTGCACATCGTGCTACCTCCGCCTCTGCCTCCCCCACCTGCTGTCCCTTCTGCTCCATCTCCTCCTGTAGCTGCTGCCCCGCCTGCCTCAGCCTCTCACTCTCTGCCTCCAGACCCCTCAACTGCAAGGCGGCTCACAGCATAGACAGAAGGGCGCGGCAGTGAGATAAGGGAAGGATAGGGTTGGCTGTTGAATTGGGACAGCATGGGAGTGCAACCGTGTGGCGGGACCATCAATACAAGAAGGAAATCATGGTGGTACATGCTACGCAACACAGTCAGCTACACCAACTGCACTAGCTGCACCAGCTGCTCCAGCTCTTCTTGCTGTAAACGGATCAAGCAATACTGCACTTTGCAAGCCACATCTGCTACAAACTTCCCTTTCCTCCTCCTCCCTCCCTCCCACCCATCCACCCATCCACCCACCCACCTGTGCTGCACTGCGCTGCACCAGCTGCTCCAGCTCTGCAATGCCGCGCCTGAGCCACCGGTCGCGCTCGTCCTTGCTCTTGAACTGCGCCTTCTGCCCCTTCCTCTCATACAGTGCGTCCAGTCGGCGCGAACACTCTGCCAGCCTGCAAGCAAGGAAGAAACATTAGCTGAATATCCACCAGCAATTGATTCTCACAGTCAGCAGTCACCTGACACATACCTACCACCATGCCCCCAGCCACCACACTACTCCCGCCCGCGCCCCTTTTGTCCAAAGCACTCTCAACCATATAATCCCAGTGCTGCGTTTCTCTCCGTTCTTTCTTTTCAATCGCTCTCCACACAAATCCCACCTCTTGTTCAGGTAAAGGTAAGGAGGGGGGCCCACCTCTTGTTCAGCGCATTCTCCTCTGCCACGTGCTGCTGGTGCTGCGGGTGAATCGCCTCCAGGTCAGCGTTTGACTTGGCGATGTCCCTCTGCAGCTGCTGCAGCTCCGCCTCCAGCTCTTGCTGTGTGGAGTGGAGATGCGAGGAGGGAAGATGCGACGAGGCGAGATGTGAGGAGCGGAGACGCGACGAGGGGAGATGCGAGGTAGGGTAAGGAAAACAAAAGGCTCGCGTTAGAAGGTGAGTCAACTTCGACTAGGACATGATCGCAACCAGCACAACGATTCTCAATTAACGAAAATCAACAGCGACTGGGCGAATTGGGCGAGGGTTGGGTTCCAAAAATCAGGATATGAAAGAATCAAGAAGAAAATCCGGTGGAATCAAAGAGCAAAAAACGAGGAACAATGCCCGAGAAGGGAGGGAAAGAACCTGGGAATGGGAAGAGGTTGGGGGGGGCAGGGGGAAGGGGACGGGGAAAGGGGACGGGGGAAGGGAAAACAGTTGGGGAAACATTTTCAATCAACCTCAAAAGGCATTGTACCATACCTTTTCCCTGGCCCATACCCACCCACCTTGCGCCCCTGGCCTGCGTCAAGTGCCTTCTCGAGCTCCTTCACAAGGCGGAGAGAAGGAGCAAGGAACCTTGGGGGATGATAGGCGTAGGTGAGGGGACCTTACCTTACCTACTACCTCGTCCCTGGCCCATACCCACCCACCTTGCGCCCTTGGTCCGCCTCTAGCGCCTGCTCGAGCTCCTTCACATCGAGCCGCAGCCTCATGCACGCGCGCATGCCCTCGTTCCTCTGCTCCTCCACGCGCTCCTGCTCCTGCACCAGACCCTGCAGCTCCCTGTTCTTCGCCTTCAGCTGCCGCTCCACCTCCTTCACCTCCTCCTGCCGCTCCCGCGCCTTCTGGTGGGTCCCACTCGTGCGCTCTTGCACCTGCTGCCGCCGCGACTCTACGTTTTCCAGCTGATCGCGAGCCTCTGCGAGCTCTTTTTCGAAGATGGCGTATTCGAGCGAGCGGCGTTGCTTGTCCAGTAGCTGGAAGCGTTTGAGCTCCTCCTTTTCCTCGTCCAGCTCCTTGAGACGGGCTTCGATGTGGGCGAGGAAGTCTGCAATCTGCTGCCGGCGCACCTCTGGAAGGAGAGAATTGGAGCAGAGATTTGGGAGAGATGGAAGCGAAGGGAGAGATGGGAGGGACGAGGAGGAAGAGAAAGGGAGAGAAAGAGATGGTTTCAAGTCGACTTGTCCAGTAGCTGGAAGCGTTTGAGCTCCTCCTTTTCTTCGTCCAGCTCCTTGAGACAGGCTTCGATGTGCGCGAGGAAGTCTGCAATCTGCTGCCGGCGCACCTCTGCAGGGAGAGCGGGGAAGGGGAGTTGAGAGAGATGGAGGGGAAAGGAGAGAATGATACGAAGGGAGAGAAGCGCAGAGAGAGGGACAAGTAAGTGAAAAGAGACTCAACAGCAAGAAGGAGACAGCAGAACGTGATATACTAATCTAAACTCCTCCCTCTCGTGATCCAAACAAAAATGCACATTTGCAGCATTAAACCAACACAACTGACCACTCCTGACCCTCCACGCCCTGCCTAACCAGGCCTGAGCATCCATTCAAGGCCAATTAACCCAGGATCCACCCCTGATCCGTGACCTCCTCCTTACCACCGACCCTCATCCAGCACCTCACCCCAGAAGTCCCATCCCTCATTTTTATGAGCTGTCAATATGAATACCTGCTTCCTGCATGATCTTGAGGCTCTCCTTGCGCCGCTCCTCGTACACGCGTGCGCCTCCAATCTCCTTGAGCAGGTTCAGCCGCTCCGCATCCTTCATCAGTGACAACGACGCAATCTGGTGGTGGCACATGGGAAAGAGAGAGGAAGGGGCGACCAAGAGAAGGGGCGAGATGAGGGAAGGACTTCTAAGTTCAGACACTACTTAGCCTCCAATCTCCTTCAGCAGGTTCAGCCACTCCGCATCCTTCATCAGTGACAGCGGCGCAATCTGGTGGTGGCACATGGGAACGTGAAAGTAGCAGGCGACAGAGAGGAGGGAAACGGGGAGCGAGAGGTGGGGTGAGGTGAATTTGTGTGAGGGGCGACATAGCCAGCAGTGGTATAGCAGAGAAGCGAGGAGGGAGGGAGGACGAGAGAAGAAGGCGGGGAAGGGAAAGGTGGTGGCCGGAAGTTGCAAGAGGGAGGGGAAGAGGGAGGGGGAAGAGGGAGGGGGCAGAGGGAGGGACAGAGGGAGGGGAAGAGGGAGGGGCAGAGGGTGGGGCAGAGGGAGGGTCAGAGGGAGGGGCAGAGAGAGGGGCAGAGAGAGGGGAAGAGGGAGGGGCCGACAGAAGGAGTCTGTCCCTCGCTCTACCCCTCCCTCTGCCCCTCCCTCTTCCCCACCTGCTACCCCTCACTCTGCCCCTTCCTCTGCCCCTCCCTATGCCCCTCCCTCTGCCCCTCCCTATGCCCCTCCCTCTGCCCCTCCCTCGAAAGCAGAAGAGCGGAAAAGCAGAGCCCAACCGAAAACAATTGCAGGTGAAGAATTTCACAATCTAATGCAAGGAGGTAGAGAACAGTAAGGTAAAAAGCCTAAGCAGCGTGCATACCTTTCCCTGTTGCACCACATAGTATGGGTTGGAGCGAGAAAAGCCAGCACTCTCCAGAAGGTTGAGAACCTCTTGCTTCCTGCACACATGCAGGAAAGGGGAAACACAGGGAAAAGACAACAAGAAAGGGCAGAGAGAACGGGAGAACGCGAGAAAAACAGAGGAAGAACAAAAAGAAAAAGTGAGATGGGGAGGAGTGAAAGAAGAGCAAGCGAACAGACCAGAGAAAAAGAAGAACCACCATGGAAGAACAAAAAGGAAGGCTGGAACCAGCAAAACAAAACAAAACTAAACTGAACTAAAGCTGCAAGAAAAAGGAAGGAGGGGAGGGGGGGGGGGCTTTGGGACGTCTCAAAACAAGAAGGAAGGGGGGGGGGGAGTGTATGGGTTTAGAGAGAAGAAGTGCGTGGTCGAGAAAGGGGGGGGAGGGGAAGGGGGGGGGAAAGGAGGAGGAGGAGGAGGAGGAGGAGGAGGAGGAGGAGGAGGAGGAGGAGGAGGAGGAGGAGGAGGAGGAGGAGGAGGAGGAGGAGGAGGAGGAGGAGGAGGAGGAGGAGGAGGAGGAGGAGGAGGAGGAGGAGGAGGAGGAGGAGGAGGAGGAGGAAAAAGAGGTGGTGGTGGCAGAGGCAGGGGCATACGTGATGTGCTTGCGATCGAGCCAGTACTCATCCTTGCGACCGCTGATGGCTCGCCGCAGCCGTACCTCGTCCCTGTCCACCTGTGATAGACAGAAGTTTACGCATGCACGAGGAACACACACACACACACACACACACACACACACACACACACACACACACACACACAAGCACCAACACACACACATGCAGACAAAGAAACACAAACAAATCAGCCACAACTGGAGGCACAACTCAACAGCAATGATTGAAGCTCCACTGAACACTGGAGGGCGTGAGGCATTGTTGGCGTGAGGCAGGCGCACAGAGCCCCTTAAGACCAGCGTCGATGTCGCAAGTCCTGTGACGACCCGACACTAGAGTATGCACAACTGAGGTCCTCCTGTGGCACCCACGTCTGTTCTGGCTTAGGGTTCGTGGGACCCGTATTTGTGCTCAATGGGGTTCTGTGTGATACTCACCGGTAGACGGTTGTCGGAGTTGTCAAACACAATCTCCACAAACGCGGACAGCACCTGCTGCCCTGCGCCCTCCTGCCAAAAGAGAGGAGCACGGATGGGAGGAAAAGAAGAGAGAGGGGGAGAGAGCTTAAGAGGAACGACAGTGCCAAGTTTGTTGTGCAAAAAAGGCACTGAAGAGAAGCAGCAGCAGGAGAGATCCATTGCTCCTGGTCACAGCGAGCTGGCTCCGAAACCAAGCAACTACCAGAAAACAATGAGTCACAGAGGCAAAAACAGGATGGTCTCACATGCAGCAAAGCCTGACGATCTTCACCACGCAGGGACTGGAACAGGTCGCTCAGCACAAAGCGGATGGCTGCAAACGGACCAACAAAAGAAAGAACAGACGAGCCCGGTTAATCCCCCAGAAGAAACATAGAAGAATAAGGAGTCAACTATCACGGAGTGTCAGAAACAGCTTGATACTCTGGAACGACCTGTAGATTTCGTTTGAACCTTCAACGTCTAAGCAGCAATGAGATGCTATGAAGATAGTGACTTTAAAATGCCGGAAACAAGCCGCGGATTCTCGATTAGGGCCAATTATTGCAGGCTATGAAAGAGAAGGACCAACATGAAAAATCGAGAATAAGAAGGGATCTGGAAAATAGTGGGAAACATGCAAAAGAAGCCAGTGTGTACCATGAAAGAAGTTTGTCTTTCCCGATCCATTAGCACCAACTGCAGGATGGAAAAGGAGCAGACGAAGAGGAGCAGAGAAAAAAGAAAATGCCTGAAAACAACAGCCTTGAACTAACCTGTGAGGGAGAGAGATCAACAAGATCGAACAAAATCACTCCAGGCAGCAGTTATCATATAAAAGGAAAGGACGAAAAACACAAGATAATTATAAATAGCGTGGATACATCTCAGTGCTGCTCGATTGAATGCAAAGCAGAGCAGGTTGAGGTGTTTTGACGACGACGCACCAACACAGTTGATTTTGGGTGAAAACTCCTCCGTGGCGACCTGCTCCCTGTAGCTCTTGAAACCCTCGATGATAACCTGGTGGATCGCGGCCGTGGGAGTGACACAAGGAGCAGCAAGCAGCAGACGTCGCACGGGCAAAGAGATCGGCGGAGAACATAAAATAGGAACAGAGCTGTCACGAACTAGAAAGACTAGTAAGATGAACAGCGATTTTCGACTAATGAGGTTCCAGAATGTAGGAAGAGCCATGAAGCGTAGCCGACTCGGCCATGTCAGACGCAATCCCTGTCGTTCTAGTCAATAAAGAACAGGATGCACTTTATGCAAGAGAAAAAAACAAAATGACAATAAAAAGGATAGAAGCTATTAGAGAAACCAAAAAAACAGAAGGATTATCTCCACTCGCCTGTTTGATGTACATCCTGACGTAATGCTTCAGCGATTTTCTCCGACGCGGCGTTTCACAGAAGCGATCGCGATGCTCGCGCGAGACGTATGGGCATTCAGACCGCTAACACTCTCCACGTGCCCGTCGGACGGTATAGAATGGGACCGCGTAACGAACTAGAAAAACTCGAGTCGCGAAGGTTTTTGGCAGCTATGGAGAGACGGTTTGCCACAAAAAACACGAGCCGAGGGAAAACCCCAAGGATGAACTAGCTGCTGGGAGTAACCGCAGAAGGCACGCAGGTGAAAGGAGAATTCGTTCCAGGCTCTATTCCCATCCCCTGAGCAAAAGGATCAGGATGATTTTGGGGCAGCAAGTCGAAATAAAAATTTACGTAATCCAAGGAAACGTGCGGGAACCAAGGGGGATTCGCTCGCCCCAAGTCGCTACGCTGGCCCTAGAGCTTTGCGGGTTCCTGCGCGGGTCTTATTCTGTACACAACTGGCAATGGCTGGGTATTAGACTTGAAATCCGACGGTTGAATTGTAACGACATGCTCGAGATGACGAGAACCAGCAGTGATGACGATTGGTCTCAAGAAGGATACTCAATCCCGGCGCGAACGCAAACACCAAGAAAACTTGTATTCGTGAAATGTTTTTATCTACGAATTGAAATGACCGTGTTTGTATTCTGGAAAGCTCAATGTCTGCTGACTAGGGGATGACTAGCTGCGCGCTGGACGCCGACGACTCCACAGAGAACAGCCACGGGACGAGGAAAAGCTGCGAGTCACACCATTCCCAAGAACGTCCCCATCTTTTATGATCGAGTCTATTTTTCCGCGAGAGTGCTTCTCGTTGCTGCTCTTGTAACACGTGTTCTTCCCAGTGCGCTGCATGCTGCTGTTGTGTCGTGGCGCTCGTTTCTCGAGGGGACAGATCACAGACTCGCAGGCGGCTTGGTTGGGAGGGAGTCCTCGGGGAGCGGGGAGAGGGGGAAAGGGTGTTTCCGTTCCGCGTGAGTCAGGGGGATTGGAGTAAACTAGCGTTATTCGCACGTGGGAGGCATTCAGCAAGAACAGAAAGACTGACTAGTTTTTGGCGCGTAACTCTGTATGGCGTTTGAATCCTCGAGACGCCTCATTCGATAGTGCTCCGAGGAGTGTAGTGTTGCTGGAACTTCACGTTCATAGCGACATGTTTGTTATACAAAATTGGATTGCGTTTTCCATGTTACGATATACCGGTACCACATGCTTCCACACCCAACCTAACTAACAAGGTGGTGCTGGACCTCAATAGACTTGAGGTTCATTCCTGAAATTCCCAAAACATCACACCTTTCTGTCATCCCAACTTGATTCTGTGTTTTCCCAACTCATTACTGTGATTTTTTCCCATGTGCTTGTGACATTGCCTCGACACTTCACCTCCCCTCCCCCCCCACCCCAGTCAACCATTGACATTGTACGTGCAGAATCATACAATGCCAAGCACCCCGCGTGACACTGCCTGCCCAAAACGACTCCATTATATCGCCAGCATATTCACATGGCATTGCCCCAAACGACACACGGCACTTGATATAGTACCGTGTCATCGCCCTACAAATCACACATGGAAGACTGCCCTGATGTTCACACTTTCATCCCAAAGCTTGTCTAAACATTCCCCCGGATGTTCCTCAAGCAATCCCTTCACATAACAATCCCAACACTGCCCACGCAACCCCAGCCTCATGGCATGACCCAAGCAACCGTGCCAACTCCACATCGTATCAGCCCACAAACTTATACCACTTAGTTAAGATAACACCCATGACATTCTTCACACGGCAACCCATGACATTCCTCACACAGCAAACCCATGACATTCCCCATATCGGTACAACAAACCTGTGACCAAACTAGTCTGCCCCACTGACACTGGGTAATCCGACCTCATGACATTGGCCATGCGCAACCATATCTCTCACTTCCATACCAGGCAGTAAGGTCTGCCCGCACTGCCATCACATCAGATGCCTCCCTCCCAGCCACAGTACCCATGCCCAGATCAGTCATCACTCCCATCCCATTCATGCTCCACACACCCCGATTTCATTCTCATGCAGTGATCAGACTTCAAAAACACATGTACCGTAGCGGTATCCCCAATCAGATGTTTTCTTTTCCTGTGTAATGTAACAGTGGGATACTGAAGGTATGTAGAATGAGGACAGAAAAAATGCTGGTTTGAAAATATTTCGAGGCGAACAACAAGAAACGGGACGTGGGAGTGGCTGAGATGAGAAAGAGGAAGCACTAGTTTGAATTGAAACCCAGGCTCTTCAGTGGAGAATCTACGCAGGCGAATACGGTATGCTTCTTACAGCACTACGCCTTCCCCCAGGTACACCACCGCAGCTCCGTCGTCATCCCGCTCCCTCCGCGCCCCAAATCCTCCTTCCCCCTTCACCAACCCCTCTTCTCCAGTCCCTCCCCGCCACAACACCTGCTTCAGACTCCTCCGCCCCCCATCCGCATCCAAAATTCATAATTTCTACCAATCAGTGCCATCTCTGGATGTTGTTTTTTTGTTTTTTTTTCTCCCGCCCCACTCACTCGTCATAAACAGAAGCCAGCTCCCCTGTGCTACTGCCTCCTATTGTGCTGTCTTCCCCTTTCTCCCCAATTTCCCGGGTCATTCAGAAATTCAGTGACCCACCTTTGCTGAGCAGAAACGAAGATATTTCGGCGGTGGACAGCTCATCCACGGGTTCGCCGCAGATCTTGCCTGCGTGACAGCTTCCGACCAGCTATCGGCCACTCGCGTTTCATCAACAGTCGGACGCGATCATCGCTTCACACGTCCGATGTGCCATCGCAGCCGTCTATCACGAACTGCCGTACCGGCTCCGCTCCCATAAACAGCTCCATTATCAGAAACCCCAATCATCCCTACATCCTATCGAGGAAGAACGCACCCGCACGCACCACCCTGCTGCTGCCTACAGAAATAAATGAAATGGTTTCATCACTTCATCGCCGACGAGACGATGGGGATGATTATAATGAGCAGAATTATCAGAACCGCGACGCCCCCGATAATATACCACTTGCGCGTGTTCTGCTGGATCACCACCGCCGTCTGCAGCTGCTGCTTCGCCGTCGACGTTTGCTCCACCGCCTCGCCGACATGCGACTCGATACTGTCCAACATCTCGCCTTGCGCTTCGACCATGGTAGCCATGTCGAGAAACATCTGGTGCAGCTCCTGAAGCTGCTGCGTAATATCCTGCACTGCGTTGTGCCGCTCCTGAATTTCCGCCACCACGTCTTTCATCGCCGCCGTCTGCCCTTGCGCCGAAACCGCCGCCTGCAGAAAAATTTCACTCTGCCCGGTCTCGATAATCCGGTCCACGTCCTCGCTAGGTAGCTGCTCCCCCGTTACAATGTACACTCGCCGCTCCACCGTCGATCTGTGATCCTCCGCCATGCGGTTCCTCAAATCCATGAACTCGCCCATTAGATCCTTGAGCTTCTTAGCGAGCGTCATCGTCACCGAGGTTCGGTGCCGATCCGTCGCCGAGCCTGCGCCGCACCGGGGGTACTTCCTGTTCGCCATGTTATCCTCTTGTAGGGATTCGATCTTCTGCCGTATCGCCTTCGCGAGCCGCGAGATCGTGCCCACGTCGTCGTCCATCCGTTTGTGAAGCGCGACGACAGACGCGGATCGCACGGCGGCCTTCGCCTCCTGATGCAGACTCGCTAGCGAGCTAATCGCCGTCGCTATACTCTCCATGTCCTTGCGAACCTCTGCAACTTTCGTGTCGAATTCCGTGAGGTCCATTCCCGGCCCTTTTTCCTCCTCGCCTTCCTCGTCGTCCGCCCCCGGCGGCCCCGCACCCGCTGGCGCGCCAAAAGCATCCCTTCGGCCCTGCTCAAGGTCCTGTGCAGTGGCGAGGCGCGTGAAGCCCGTATTCTTGTCAATGACCCACGATTGCGTCATTAAGTTATTCATCTTGGCGGGTTGGAAATGCCGGGTCAACGCGTGTAGCTGTCCGTAGAAGGGACGAGAGAAAAGTGGAGGGAAACGAAACGGAACGGATCGCAGTGGAACGGAAGAGGGCAGTGGGAGGAAGAGGTGATTGCGTGGTTTGGATAATTGTCGGCTGTACTGAAACGGAGGAGGGCGAAACTTAGTGATGAAGATTAGCTTGCGTGCACAGGTGGTTGAGGGGAAGGGAGTCACCAGTATTTTTACGGAGCAATGAAATCTAGATGTGCCTGAAATAAGACAGGGGAAGCCAGGGAGAAGTATGTTCTGTTGCAATTGCAACGCAAGCCAGAAGGAGGGCCTGATATGATGCACAGAAGCAATCGTGGCATGTGCTGCCTCCGCCAAGCTGGAATCTCCTACAGCAGTCTTTGGTGAAAGAAAATCGAGTTGGCTGGAAAAGTACACCTGATAATTCCAGGCATCTTGATGAGACACGGCAGCATCTTCAAAGCTTGAGGTGGGGGAGAGCAAAGCACCCTGATGTGTGGTTGGATACAGTACTAGCATATGGCGGTTGGGTTAGGATATTTTGGTCTGGGTTGGGTTGGGTTATACTTGGGGTGAGATATGGGGTTTAACACTGGCCAGCTCTCGAACCGTGTAAGACCGAAAACAAATGCCCCAAACCGTTTCGGTGCGGTTCCGGTCAGAATGACAAATGTGTAGCCGCGCACCACCCACATGGTCAGAATTACGAAAGCCTCTGGTGTTTCTGACACTGAAAGGGTGAGAAAGAAGAACTCACTAGACAAAAAATCCCCAATAAACCCCTCTGTTGGCGGCAAACATGTGCCAGGTGAAACGCGGGGCGTAGCAACAGAACAGAGAAAATACGCGCAACAAGGGGCTGTGCTGGATTATATTACTCTAAATATGTCTACATGTACATCACCACAATATGCTAGCTACTGATTGAGACAGGAGAGATATATACTAGATTGATCCAGGGAAAACAAAATGTTTATTGTCTTTTTTATAACTGAAAAAACTTAAGAGATGATCATAAACTCTAACTAAAAATTTGCAAATTCCATGTTTTGTACGCTTTATACGTCCGTTTCCTACTATCAGTGCATGGTGTGGAGCAACACATGCCTGAAACGAGTACGTGGCAGTTCAGACCACACGTCGGGATGATGCAATGTCGCAAAACACCTGCCGAACGACCCACCTGATTGGCCAACCAAACATCCTCGCACGAAGCACATTGGTAAAGCGACGTTGAGAGAGCCGACCAAGTCGGACAGGCTGCGCAACATCACAGCGGGTTTGTTCGTGGGTTTTCGCGACCAGTCCACGACCTCCAGATAATAAGTTTGTTTTCCTGTGTTACCCAAGCTTGATCTGCCTCGAGAAACAACCCCGATGTTTTCATCCAGCTTTCACAACGTCGCAGTACTTTAGAGAAAGTTCAGGACTGGTCGCTCCGAAGGAAGTTCTTTGACGGGTTAAAGCTGGGTCTGTAGGTTGCAAGAACATTCCACGCGGGTAGAGTACGGTGGCAGATCGATAACTGCCACTTACTGTACCACGTCAAATCAGAACCGACGGAGGCGGATCAACACCAGCCTCCCAAACCTAAGTAATCACAGACACACTCTACACCAGTGTTTAAGTACGTGTCGATTAGTTAGAATAAAGCCAGATTTAAGTTCTCAACAATCCAGGAAACTCTGTTTGGGGGAAGGTGCTTCCAAGATATAGCGGTGCAAAACAGCCCATGGGTATACCTTTTCCGGAGCGCGATCGCTTTTGGCGTACACCATCAATTTTGCTGGATTTTCGAGGGAAATTCATCACGCGCGGTCCGATGTGTGAGCAAAGAAAGAATTTTGTGTTCGGGCGATGTGGTGTGGAGGGAGGGACCATTCAAGGAGGGAGCAATGTCAAGCAGTGAAGGGTTCCTCTTTCCCGTCTCACACGCACCGTCACACCTACAAATTTCCTAAAAGCTACTTTCTCTTTTGCGTTTCATTCCCTTCCCGGGTGCTAGCCTCTTCAGCATTAGAAAAGGCATCACACGCTCACATTCCCACTTTTCTTGAGCGCAAACCTGCGTGAACGCCTCAAGTCGTGCCATGGGTTCGGCATTCCACCATCGCAAACGGCCAGACAAACGCACCCGCTTCCCTTCCACCGCTCCTCTTCTATTCGTCGCGCTCCTGTCCTTATCTCTCGCGTTCCGCCCCGCAGCAGCAGCGCCGAGCTATGCTGCGATGAAGGCGGAGGTTAAGAAGCTTGCAGCGGCCATGCAGAAGGTTCCGTCGCACAAGCAGTCCGGAATCAAACTCGCGAATGCAGGTGCTATCGTCGTTAGCACTCGTGACGAGCACTCGTTACCTTGCTCCTCCCGTGCTCGTCACGCCTTCCTATCCATGCATTTCTTCTGGCTCGTCAGGCCTTCCTTTTCCATGCCATGTTGTCGTTTCTAGTTAACTTCTCAATCTCCATCACGTATCTCAACAACACCGCCCCCCTCTCCTCTCCTTCTTTTCCTTCCCCTTCTCCCCTTCGTCTCCCCTTCTTGTTTCACCCGTTACAGCTAACAAGTACAACATCCCTTCGAAATACAACGTCGCCGTATTCGCCAACTGCACCGTGCTTCTACCGGGGGACGTCGCAATGAAAGCCGCAGTGTCCAGATTCAGTATATTAAGACCCGACCCCATTTATGGCACCTCGAAGTTCGCCTGCATTCGCGGAATCTACAAATTCAAACAGCTCCAGTCGCTCCCGAGGGTGTTGATGCCGACCGCGCAGGGCATTCCCGTACGGAAGACGACGGCGAAAAACGACAAGGTGGTCGCGTTTAACCTGCGAGGCGGTACGCCGATTACTAAGGTGACGGTGACCGTTGCGCATATCTACACGGGCCCGTATTTCACGGTAGTGGGGACGGACAAACTGCTCCTGCTGCCGTCCATGGCCAAGGAAGACGCGGAGGAGGACGATTAGGAAGACTTCTATTACACAGGAGAAATAACTAAGAATACAATATTAGAATCGTAAGCCCAGCAAGGAGTTTTTGTATGCATTGTGACAGCCACCCCATCAATAGGAAAGGAAACTTCCCATTTGCTGCAAACCCACAGAACCTATATGCCTGCAATTTGCTAGCATAGATGTCCCCATTCCTTTCATTATGTTGGGCTGAGATGCCCTAGGATCTTTGTAGAGTTAAAGTCTGAGTAGGATTGTAATAGCGGAAGCGTTTGAATGAAAAGTCCTTGAACCACCTTGCGTTTGTATGTGAGGGCAAAGTAAGTTGATTAAAACAAGCAAATACAATGCTTTATATAGGAGTACAAGGAATACGAATAGATATAATTTACCCGTTTTGGCTGTTGCGATTCGATACAGTGCGACTCGGGCAACTGCTCAATGTCGAGTCAGTTGTGTGTCCTTGTTGTCGCGCTGTATTTGTCAAGTCAAAGGTCGCTGACTTTTGACCTTCGCGTAACCTCCAGGCGGTTACCCTAACCTCCGAGGGTTGACTCGCGATGCTTCGATTTGGACTGCTTCGCTTGTGTCCTGAGTTTCGACACGACAGAGGCGCTTTAAGACTTATTGTTCCCAACACTCCCCTTCGCTTCTGGAGTGTCGCTAATGGTGACGTGGCCTTGTCCAGTCAGCAGCATGCAGTACTCGAACTTCTGTTTTCCGAGTTTCTTGGTCAAGTAATCGGCTGCCATCTCTGACGTGGGACAGTAGGATAATTCGAGTTTCCCTTTCTCGATCTCGTCTTTCACGAAGAAGTATCGCAGAGCGATATGCTTCGTTCTGTTCGCGAATCCGCTTTTGTTGGCGATGCGAATTGCAGATTGGTTGTCGCAGAATAGGGTGAAGTTGGGTAACTCGGCTAACTTCGCTTCTTCCAGCAGCTCGCGAAGGTAGAGTCCTTCCTTGGTGGCTGAGCAGAGGGCGATATATTCTGCTTCAGCTGAAGAGAGAGCGATTAGTTCCTGCTTGCTCGACTGCCAGGAGATAGGTCCGATAGGCTCGAGACGATAGACGTAGCCAGTGCGAGAGCGCCTATTGTCGGAATCGCCGGCATGATCGGCATCGACGTAGCCGATTAGTTTCGTGGTCGTAGTTTCGTTTTTGTAGTAAGTCAGGCCGATCGTCGGAGTGCTTACAAAGTAGTGTAGTGCGCGATCGAGCTCCGCCACGTGCTCTGCTTCGGGTTTCTTGAGGTAGGTAGCGAGTTGGCTTGCGGAGTAGGATAGATCCGGGCGGCAGGTGACGGCTGCGAAGAGGAGGCAGCCCAGTTTCCTCTGGTAGTCTCGTATTCCGGCAGCTTTGAGTGGAGCGGAATTTCCTTTGTTACTTCCTGCCGTGTAGCGGTATGGCGTGGCGATAGCAGTAGGTGTGAGCGAGAAGCGCTTGGCGATAGTGTCGGCGTATTTCTCGGCGCTTAAGTAGATAGCATTTTCTTCTTCGCGGATGTTGAGCCCGAGGTACTGAGTGACGGTAGGAGAAACCGTGAGCGTGAGATCCTTCTGCAGCTCCCCTTCGAACCAGGTGGTGATGTCGTCGGTGGAGCCAATGTAGAGTAGGTCGTCGACGTAGACGATCAGTAGGACGTAATCGGCGTCTTTAGTGAATCGATACATTCCTTGGTCGTGCGGCAGTTGGCGGAATCCGATGCGAGTGAGTCGGGTGTGTAGGTGCTGTTGCCACAGCCGCGGGGCTTGTTTGATTCCGTAGAGCGATTTCAGTAGCTGGCAGACCTGATTGGGGTTTCCGTGGGTACCGTGTGGGAGTTCGACGAAGATTTCGGCGTCGACGGGTGCGTAGAGAAATGCGTTGGCGACATCGATTTGTCGCAGTTTCTTCTTCTTCATGGCGGCAACGGCGAGAAGAATTCGAAGAGAGGTATGTCGACTAACTGGGGCGAATGTCTCGGTGAAGTCTCGTCCTTGCTCTTGGTCGAATCCACGCACGACCCAGCGTGCTTTGAACTTCTCGATTGTGCCGTCTGCTTTCGTTTTGATGCGGAAGACCCATTTCCCGGTGAGAATGGTCTTGTTGCTTGCCACGCTTGCGGGAACGACCTTCCAAGTGTTGCGTTCCTCCAGTGGCTTTAACTCTCTGTCCATGGCTTCGCCCCATTTCTCCCTGTGTTCCCCCCCCAGAGCCTGCTGAACCGTCGCAGGCTCCTTAGGAAGTGCGTTGGCGTGAACTGCGGTGACGAGGCCGAGGATTTGCAGTCCAGTCTGTGAGTATCGGGGGAGTGTTGGATCCTCAGGATAAGCTGCTTCGTCTCCCGCTTCTGGATCGGGTATGAAATTTGGCCCTATCCGTTCTGCTTCATTTGTGTTGACTGTCGCAGGTGTTACGTAACCGTTGTCGGCGAAGTGATAGAAGACTTCGGCGTTGACACTGTCGCGAGGATTGTCTTCGTCCATGGGCACGTCGACGGAGCAGTACGTGAGAGGTCCGGTTGTGAAACAAGTGAACAGGAATGCGAAATGACTAAGTCAGAGTTGGGTACAAAATGCAACCCTAGAAAGCTGTACCCCATATGTGCTACCCCACTATAGCCTACAAACATGCATCAGCTATAATACTCTGACACACCCCCATAGGCTAAGTGGGGGAGAACAAGGGGTCACAAGACCAGTCAAGCAAAGCAAAGCAAAGCAAGCTCAGGGTGGATCACAAAGTCACCACATAGTCCGAGCACAAGAGCAGGGCCAGAGGCCAGTTCACATGCAGGAGTACAGACATATATATAAAACTAGACAAGCAAGAGCAGGTATATATATATGTCACAGTACAAGTGAAGTCAAGAGGAGAGCAAGTGAGGCAAGACAGGTACAAGACCCAGCTGGGTGCAAAAGCGCTGATGGTCACAAGGCGCGAGTGCCTTGGTGAACACATCAGCAGTGTTGGCCTCAGAGGCCACGAACGCAAGTCGCAACTGACCACGCTGCTGCAGCTCACGAGCAAGGAAGTAGCGGAGAGCAATGTGCTTCGTTCTGTGCTCCAAGCGCTGCTCTCGACACAAGGCCAGCATGGCCTTGTTGTCTACGTACAGCACTGGAGGAGAACGAGGCGGCTCTCCAAGGTCAGTCAGCAGGTAGGTGAGCCAGCGAAGCTCCTGTGCAGCCATGGCCCCGACGTAGATCTCAGCCTCACAACTGGAGCCGAGAACCGAAGACGAGCGAGTAGACCGCCACGAGACAGAGCCGGAACCAAGGCTGAAGGTGTAACCCTGTGACGACCGCTGCGTAGCCTGGTCGTCAGCCCAAGAAGCGTCCGCGTGGCCGGTAAGGACCACTGGACTCCGCCCTCCAAGCACTAGCCCCATGCCCGACGTACTGCACAGGTAGCGCAATACCCTCTTCGCTGCAGCCATGTGCTCCGGTCTGTGTCTCCCAGGAGCAACATAGCGTGCAAGAATGCTCAGAGGGTATGCAAGGTCAGGTCGTGTGCAGGTCATCAGGTACATGAGGCAGCCAACAAGCTCTGCATACGGACCACTCGACTCTACGGACTCATCCGAAGGCAGAGCTGAGAGTGAGTGGCGAGTAGGCAGAGGAGTGGCCTGAGGCGAGGAGTACGTGAAGCCGAAGCGCTGAAGGACCTGCTGCACCATGTGTGACTGAGTCAAGGTAATGGTGCGGCGTGCTCTGTCCCGAGTGATCTGCAAGCCAAGGTAGCTGCGCAGTTCACCCAGGTCTGTGCACGTGTGTCTCTTCAGCAGCTCGGACTTCACGTAGGCGAGTCCAGCAGTGTCCGCTGTGGCAAAGACCAAGTCGTCGACGTACACGAGGATGTAGAACGGCGGCAGGGAAGTGTCGGTGCGAAGAAACAGCGACGGGTCAGCAGTAGAAGGAGCAAACCCAAGAGCCGCAAGCGTAGTCCTCAGTGTGTCGTGCCACTCACGCGGTGCCTGGCGGAGACCGTAGACTGGCCGTCGGAGGCTCCATTGGGTGCCAGGAGGGAAAGTCCCAGTGAAGCCAGGTGGACGGCGAAGCCAGATCTCCTCGTGCAGGCTACCCTGCAAGAACGCAGTGCTGAAGTCGAGAGAGTGAAGCTCGTAGTCGCGCTGAGCGGCTATGTGCAGCAGCACCCGAAGAGTAGTCATCTTCGGGGTGGGAGAGAAGGTCTGAAAGTAGTCAACTCCCTGCCGCTGACTGAAGCCACGAGCAACGTACCGTGCCTTGAAGACAGGTGGAGAGCCCGGCGGCCGCTTCACCCTGAAGATCCACATGCCACTGACGATGTTCGCCCCAGGAGGGGGAACCGCGTCAACGTAGGTGCCTGTGGACTTCCAGGAAGCCATCTCTGCATCCATAGCTGCCTGCCACTGAGAGGAGTAGGGACCCTCTACGGCCTCCGCGTAAGAACGCGGAGTCGGGATGTCTAGTGCATCCGGGTCTCCCTCAGGGGCAAGCAGTACAGACGCGAGATGAGGTGAAGCAGCCGCTAGACACTGTAACTCCTCCTGCCTGTCCTCTAGGACGTCCGTGCCAAGAGCACACTCACCCCCGACGGACGGAGGACAGACAGACGCAGACTCAGCAACAAGACTAGCAGCGTAGTCGAGACGACAGCGAGCAGCAAAGTCGACGAGCTCAGCGACAAGGGCAGACGCAGCAGTGGACTCAAACGAGGGGTCAGTGACGACAGTAGCAAGGAGACGCGTGACAGTAGGACTGGCAGCACGAAGAGAGTCCGACTCAGGGTCGGCAAGCGCAGGAAGAGAGGACTCAGGAGGAGAAGGCAAAGGGGCACGCAGAGGAGCAGTGGACGGACGCAAAGACATCCGGTGCGTGCCAGGGACAGGAGGAGGACGCTGACGCGAACTGCGACCACTAGCGCGAGCAGCACGAACAGGCGACGCGGGACGAGACGCAGGCTCACGACGCTCAGCAAGACCTCCAGTAGGACCAGTGTAAGGAGAGGGAGCAGGCAGTGGAGAGGAAGGCTCCAGTAGGGACTGCGAC